CAAGCTCTGCACTGGGCTCTTCTCAGGCTGCAGGGGTGACCTGGCTCTGCCTTGCGCTAAGGGCCTTTCCTGCCCACCTGTCTTCACCGGGCCCTCTTCTCCCTCTTGCAATATAGTCGTTCAGGCACGGTCACCTTGGGGATGCTCTCCCGCCCTCTCCTTCCCTTGCCTTCGGATTCCCACTGTGCCATCTGACCTCTGGAAAGGAGGCCCTAAAGCCACCATTCACATGACCTGATGCACAGCACTTCCTCTGCGACCCAGCACTCGGCAGCTCCATACTAACAGACCATCACGAGATGTTTTCTTCCCCTTGCTGCACCGCCTTATCACCAGCAAACCTTCTCTTCAGATCTTCTGGACCCACCCGGAACCCAGCCTGTCCTTCCTGCTCTAGCCCTGCCGGCTGCGGAGGAAGGCAGCTCCCCCAGGTCCCTGCCATTCCCACAGGGCCTGAGCAGGACACTACGCAGACCCCAGCACCTCATGCTGCTGCTCCTGCATTCTCTGCCCTGCGCCTGTCAAGGTCCGAGTCAAAGCCAAGGTCCTCAGGATGCCTGCAGGTCCCTGTGTGAGCCCAGCGCTCTGTGGTCCCACAGTCCCCACCTAGTGCCTCTCTCCAGGGTCCTGCAAAAGGCCCCTGGCCTTTCCTGTCCTCCAGGACACCAAGCAGCACCGCTCAGTGCCACCTCCCCAGCAGGGGTTCCCATTCCCCACCTCACCTCCCTTTCAGCCCTGCCCAGCTGCTCAGCCTCAGGACATGCTTGCTCACTTCTGCCACCAGACGTCCAGAGGATGCTGCCCAAGCAGGGGCACTGCCCCGTCCTGTTGCTGGTGTGTGACCAATGCTCCACACCCATCTGAACAACAAAGGAACTGCAGAACTTCCTGCACTCTTGTGTGTACTCACGATGACAACTAATATTCGCACAGAGCAGGTGAAGTGAACCAAAGCTCTGCAGCGCAGCTACTGCTGGGAAGGTGATTTTCACTAGCAAGGGTTCAGACAACCAACAACCTGACATACCTTGTGAGGATTTACATTTGCTCTGGGATGTGCTGGAGGGCTTGCCAGGAGTGCTGGTCGGGGGAGGGTTACACAGCTTTTCTTCCATTTTGGCTTCCTTCACATACTGGCACGACTTCCCCAACAGCACAATGCTGTTAAGTATTTTAAGGGATATCAACCTAAAACCAGAAACAGAAACAAGCCCTGCTGCAGTTCACCCTACTGGCGTGCCCTCTCCTGGCTGGCCGGCAGATTAGAAGGCATGGGGTGCAGGAGAGGGGGGCAGAGTCAGGGGACCAGACGCAAGGGCACCCTCAGACCCAGCACAGCACTCCACACCAGCTGATGATCCCTGGCTCTGTCATCGCCTGCTCCCCATGCCGCAGGCAGGAGGAGGGAATGCGCTGAGAGGGCCGGCCCTGGGCCAGGGGTATTGTGGACTCCCGCAGCACCTGGGCAAGCTCCCCAGCCAGCAGAGCTGACAGCAGAAGGGCGGGGCACGGTGCTCAGAGCAGCCTCCGCAGGGCGGCGTTGGCAGGCCGGCCACCTCACTCCTGTTGACGCCAGCGACATCCTACTGCAGCGATTAACACATTGTAAAGGTCTTTACGTGCCAGTTAAAGTTCTTCAGCAAAAGACATTATTGTAAGTGGCCTTAAAAGTGTGTAATTCAGACTTGGGCATGGTGGTGCACGCCTGCAATCCCAGCACTCTAGGAGGCTGAGGCAAGAGGATCCCAAGTGTGGGCCCAACCTGGGCAACTTATGGATGTAGATCTCATCTCAAAGTAAAATTGACCCAATCCCTAAATAAATTTAGATCCCATATCAAAGTAAAAGGGCTGAGGGCGCAGCGCAGCGTGAAATCTGTGGGTTTGATCCCCAGTGCCATAAAATGAAGAGAAAAAGGGAAAAATCATGTTTAATTTAGGGTCATCATATACCAAAACCCCTATCAGGCCCTACTTCCTTACATTTCTATATTTTGCTCTTGTTAAGTTTCTAATTAAGAACATTTATGTCAAATCTGAGTTTCTTTAATTGAGATAAACTGCTAGACATCTGTACTTACAGAAGGAGAATTTGGGGTTAAAAGATGTTTCATGTTTTAAGGAACATGATGTAAATCTGACAACAAGTTCTGGAGGAACAAGCTGTCATAGACATCTGGCTTACTACAGAACATGATAGCAGACTTAAACCGGAGACCTCCAGTACTAGTCAAAACAAGGGAAGAAGGGGTGGTGGCCCGTAGCCCCTGTGCCATCCCCTCCTGTGCCCCGAGGCTCCCATCAGGCCTGGGTCCCGGTGTCCCCTCCGCCGAATCCACCTTCCTAGGGGGAGCCCACGATGCCCACCCTCCTCAGGCAGGGGCTCAGGCTTCCACATGAGCCTTCCCTCACATTCCCAAGTTTCTCCTCCTAACATGATTACCTGTCACTCGAGAAATAACTGCTTTTTTAGCTGACATCGACTTGGTCCCTAGAATGTCAGTGACATCAGGGCAGGGCACTCGCCAGCCTTTCTCTAGTGACCCCGGACCTGCCCAGGTGCCTGGGTACTGCGGGGTGCACGCAGGGTAGCTGTGTCGAGTCTCCTTCCTCCATGGCCAGAGTAGGAGAAGCAGGGTGGCGATGCTGCTGGGGTTCATGAAAAACTGGAGGCCACGAGGCCAAGTGGTTTTGAGAAAGTTTGTGAAGGAGAGTATTTCGGAATTACTCAGAGCCACAGGGAGCAGGATGTGGAGAGGGTGGGCACAGGGGCCTAGTGGATGGTGCCAGTGGGGAATGTGGGAGGAGAGGTGACACTGCGCAGATGGCGCCAGTAATGCAAATGACACTGCATCCCGCTTATGAACTGTGCCCAGGCAGTGCCAACTACAGAGGCTGCCAGGGACGGTACATGCACGTCTCACGTCCCGGCTCATTTATATATAAAAATGCTGTAACAATTAGCTTGCTAAACCAAGATGGGAGACATTATGGGAACTCCATGTGATAAACACAGTACAATGCAAAGGACTCTAAGGAGTGGTATAAGAATGTGTACTGCACAAAGACAGCAGGATCTAGTGCTATGGTTTAAATATGGCCTGTCCCTTCCACAGGTCACGCAGGAATTTAATTCCCACTAGGGAGTAGAGAGGTGAGTGGATCTGTAGTGAGTGAGCGACCTCCAAGGGACCTGCTGTCACAGCCTGGTGCAGGGCCTGGTGTGCACTCCTGGGCTCTCGTGCTGGGCCTGCGATGTGCTCTCCACCTGGGCTCTGCCAGCGAGAAGGCATAACCACAAGTGGCTCCTTCATCACAGACCAGGACCACGAGCCAAACGGGTATCTTTTCTTCATACGCTCAGCCTGTGTGGCACTGTAGTACTAATAACAGGAAACAGACTGTGTGTCCACGTGGATGGACATGCATCGGATCAGAGCTCCTCTCTGCTGTGGGCGTCCCAGCCATCCATAAGGCCTGGACGCGGCAGCGCAGCAGGCCTGGGAGGCGCAGCCCCAACACAAGTGCTCGAAGAAGAAGCATGCAGACAACGGGAAGCAATTGTGCCCCGTCGGCTTCGACAAGCAGCTTGCTGAGTGCCTGCTGCGTGTCAGTGGCGTGCAGGGACCAGAGGGACAACACACACCTCATGGAGCTGGAGCTGCATAGAGGGCCCGACACAGACCTCACTCCAGGCATGACTCAAGGGAAGCTCAGCCGAAGTTGCGCTGTTCTGCTCATTCCCGCCCAGCTCCTCCCTCGGAGTTCACGTCTGAGCCCTCGCCCAGCTCACCCCTTCCCGGCGCTAACTACCACGTCTCCCTCAAGCCACAGCGAGCTCTAGCTTCCCAGCCTCCTATAGTAAAATACTCTGAAGCCAGGCAGGTCTACTTGTATCATCAGTTTACAGCTGAAGAAAACTGAAAATGGCAAAACTACTGATATAAGTTGTTATTTTCTTCTCTTCATTTACAGCTACCGTAAATATTTCAGTTATTCATTTCCTGTTTGTCGCCCTGAACTAGAACAGAAGCCACTCAAAACCAACAGAGGTGAAGGCGAAGCTTTGCATGCCGTGGGTAGGGACACTGCGCTCTGCCTCCTCTGGGGTGGTCCGCCACAGGCCGCGAGGGGCCTACAAAAGCAGATGTGCAAACACCCCAGACGGCCAACGATGCTTGTAGACAGAAGAATGTTGACTACAATAGCTTCTTTTAGGAAAAAAATAAAATCTTAAGCAAAAAAACAGAACAAAAAGGTGGCTTAAAGTAAAAAAATGCATTAACAGTTAAAGTATATGGAGTACACAGAGATTTAGGTGCTATTAAGTTCCAATACATCTTATGTTTATACTCTAAAATTAAAAACATATCCAAGAATAGTCAGTCTTACCCAAAATAGAAGAGTATGACACAGGCGTAGGACAGGATTCCTTGCACTTTAATTGAACTTGTTACAACTCTGATGAGCTAGCCAGAAACAAACCAAAACACACAACCACAGAGTTAATAGTTGTTAAACACAAGCTTTCTCCCTGATGCTTTTGGCATCTCAGGCCACATGTGTGGCCTTCACCACACTCAGACAGCGCAGTTCTAGAGGTAGCAGTTCGCGTCAAAGCCTGCCTACGTGAGAAATCCTTGCGCAGGGCCTGGGTTGCGAAGGAAAATCGGGATGCAGCTGGACTGCTGCTGCCTCTGCAGTCCCACACTACTCTGATGACACCTCTGCCCACACCCAGCAGAGCTGTGAGTCAGCTCACAGTGTAAGAAAGTGTCTTCCAGGAAGGACAAATAAACTCGCTGTTACACGTGTCCGCAGCAGAGCTGGAAGCAACTGGTGTTTCCCTCATTTCTGCCTTTCTCCTTAGATGGTTTTTGCTATTTAATAAAACTAAACACTATTAAAATTCAATTGTTTAAAAGTCAAAAACCTTCTGTTACTTTTGGATAATTATGGCAGAACACTTACTGTCATCCTTTTTACAAAATTACAGGAATGACAGCACTGTCCTTGAAGTCTAAGGAATCAGTCTGGTGACACCCGTCATGGGCAAATGTTGATACAAGCACGGCTGTGCCTCTGTGCTGAGCCCTGGAGGGACAGGGAAACCTGGGGCAGGAGTTGCTCTCCTCACAGTGTTACTACATGGAAGAGCCTTCTCGGCTGCCTTAAATTTTAATAGATTTTAAAGAAATTCTTTTAATAAAAGTACACTTGAAATGAGGTATGGGAATGGACTACTGTGTATTTCAAGTTTCAAAATGAGAAAACTGACACAGTCCACAGCCTCCAGTAGGGAAAAATGACTGTTTATTAAACCAATGCTAAAAAAAAAAAGGATTAAAAAAAAAATCAATCAGACCATCTAGCTTTATCCTTACAACTGAATGTATATTTTCTTTTCTTTTTTATCTTTGGTGCAGGGCCTTCAGGGCGCTCAGGGTCTCACTATGTAGCTGGGACTCGTAGTGATCCTCCTGTTTGCAGCCTCCCAAGCGCTAGGATCTCAGGCGCCCAGTCTCAGCAGCTGCCTTAGTGCGCCCCGCGGGCAAGGCCGGCGGCACTCTGGGGATCAAACCTTGGCCGCGGCACTTTGCCTAAGCAGGCGCTTTAGTACGCTGAGCTATCTGGCCAGCCCTTGAATGTATCATATTTTCAATTGCAGAGAACAAATGTAGAAACATTTAATATTCTACCAATGTCTTCAATATTTACTACAAAATTTTACTCTTTAAAATCTGTATTTTTCCAAAATACTTGGTATTCTTTTACCCTGTTCTGTTCTGCAGCAAAAGAAACATGCATTACTACAAGATAATAAGCTATAACTGTAACTGAAAATATTCAGGATGTGGTTGATTGCAAAGTGACACTGACAACTAAGTAACATTAAACTTATTAATAATCCATCATCCAAAAAAGTCAGGAAAGCTGGTCCGACACAGAGCTGGCGCGCCCTCCAGCCACCCTCCTTAGAAGCTTTTTAGTTGACCTGCACTGCGCTGCTTCTACAGGAGAGCTTTGGGTGTTTGGCAAAAGATGGTTTGTTTGGATGCAAGATGAGACAATCCAGGAGGAACAGAATCCCATGCACACACTGTCACCAGCTCTTTAGTATGTAGCCCAGGCTGTGCTCGAGCTTGCAATCCTCCTGCCTCAGCCTGCTGAGTGCTGGATTACAGGCATGTGCCACTTGTCCTGGCACAGCCGCCAAATCTTAATTAACAGGATTACAGGCAGATGCAAGGCTGTTCTGAGAATACTGAAATACAGCATTTGAAGTTGACAGCCTTTTCTTGGGCTGATTTAAATTTCAGGACTATTTTTATTTTAAAAAATATGTTATGTTTAGAACATACGACTAAGAATTTTCAATGTAAAAATCTTGGAAAGAACCGTGAAAGTGGCACTTCAGTAGACACCAAGGACATTTTCGTTTGGGCACATCATACTTCAAGAGACTTGTTCTAAAATTTTTGCTGCCAACGCCACTGCAGTGCTTCGATTGGGCCCCCAGTCCCTGTGTGTCTTTTACCATAATTCCCTCCTAAGAAATTCCTAGAGTTGGAATGACTGCATGAAAGCACAATCCTGTCAAGCTGGTATCTAGAAATACTGAGCTAATATACATCACCACCACACTACTGTCCTGGGACACCTTACGCCTATTACCAAGTACATCCATTTAAAGAAATCTTTGCCAAGTGAGTACGCAAGAGTTTTCTGACTGCTAGGAAAGCTATTTATATAAGCAATTCTTTAGTACTCCTTGGCTGCTGGATGGCTCCCAATAGGATAATGCTGTAACTTAAAGCAAACTTTACTTCCATGTTATTTACCTTTAACTTTTACATTAAGTACTTTTAAAATAATCTTATTGATCACCCATTTATTAATGTTCTATAATGATGATTATCTCCTTCAAAAATACCCCACAGTGTGGACTTACTAGAACAGCCAACGGGAGAGGAATAAAGCCCATCCTCCGGGCCACAGAGTCGCTGTAGTCGGTGTATGCCTGCAGAGGGACACAGATTCAGGGCTGGAGCAATCAGCCAGCACGTCGAGTCGCACATTCCCTCATTACCACCAAATGTTCTAAGCCACTGAGGCGTACAACATTAAAATGATGTGGAAATCTTACTGCTCTGAACACACAACAGTGGAACTGGAGCTGTGGTGCAAATACCACACATTATATCATGTCACTGTGTAAATACTTAATGTGTACTATAGAAGTGGATAGAAAATTTACATTTTCCTTAATTAATACTCCTTGCTAAATTGAATCACTGTTCAGTTAATTTCAGTCTATGTCTTTGATAAAATACTCACATTTTTTTGTCTGCTGCTAACAAGATCAAAAGCAAGGCTGGCTCTATATTCACTGTAGACCTAAAGAAAATAAAAAATACTACACGTTATCAAGTACAAATACATAATGTTTAATAATTAAACGAGAACAGATGCTAAAACCAAGCAGACATCTGGACGTGGTCTCTCTGCTTCCCTGTATAATACAGCCTCAAGTCCCCTGAACTGTTATGGCCAGAAGTTCTTAAGAAAAAGACTGCTCTTCGTAGCAGAATAAATATTCAATGACTATGATCTGCAGGGTTTTGGGAATAGTAGCTATTTAAGTAGTGTCTTAAATAAAAACATTTTTGAAATTTTAAATTAAATGAAAAGCCTAAAAATTATTAATATTGTATTTCTAACTTTAACAGTGCCTTCCTGGAAAAATGGTTTACTAACAATTAGCAAGATAGAAAATTGAGTTAGGAAACCTAGTAGCACTACTATAGCAGTCATAAGGCTACTTGTAAATTGCGATTTCCATTAAGAAACTGTGTGAAATCCCTGACTGGGGCCTATTAATTTTGATGTCAGGTGTTGAGAAAAATCAACCTATGAAAAGGGCATCATTCTGTATTGAAGAAGCCAAAGGACAAAATGAACTCACTTTATCGGTGCTTTATAAAAAATGTACAAAATTGTATTTTTCCCAGTGATAGCATTCAGAAACTCAATGAAATCATCAAACTGTATAACAATTTTAGAATTACGGCCATTTTCTCTATATTGGTTCTTCCTATCCAAGGGCAAGGGAAAACTTCCATCTTCTGCTATCTGCTTCAATCTCCATTTTCATGTGCTGTAGTTTTCAATGTAGATCTACTTCCTTCACTGGATTGGTCGGTAGGCACTTCACTTTTTGGGTGCTACTGAGAAAGGTGGCGTTCCCTAACTTCTCTCTCGGTGGCTTTGCTGCATGCGTACAGGACGGCTACTGACTTTGGAGCACTGACTCCGTGTCCAGCTACACCTCTGAATTTGGTGATTAAGTCCCGCAGTACTTTGGTGGGGTTTTTAGGGTTTTCTACGTAGAGTACTATGTCCTCTGTAAACGATGGTAACTAGCAACTACAACTGCATTGCTGTTTAAATCTTTGGAATTAAAACAGTATTAGAATTTTATTAAAAGTGCAACCTTTCAAAAGTAAAATCTCCAAGGCTGCTGACCCGATCCTTTGGGCCTGCGGTGGAATATGGAACGTACTGGGAAGTGCCGCTGCGTCCTGCTGCCTGCGCAGCAAGCCCAAGCTCACTATTTCTGGGCCCTCCTCAGAATATGATTACAATGGAGAGAACTCCTTTAACGTTGCTCATGCATTTCTACCGGAAAAAATAGACAGCTCTTGTCTTCTACAATTTAGGAACCTATTTATAACTACAAGGAGAAAAATAAACCTCAACTTTAGAATAGAATGGGTTGGCAGGATGGCTCAGGGGACTAAGTGCATGCTTAGGCAAATGCAAGGACCAGGGTTCCATCCCTGGCTCTACATACCATGCCAAGCCCACCCCCAGGCGCACTGATCTGGCCGCTGAGACAGGCCAGAGAGAAGGTCTGATGGTCTAGTTTTTGTTTTGTTTTTTGAGTGTCTTGTTATGTAGCCCAGGCTGGCTTTGAACTCACCATGAGCGTACTTCCTCAGCCTACTGAGTGCTGGGATTACAGGCATGCACCACCACGCCTGGGCTTGGTGGTCTAATTGTTAAAGTAAATACTATATGATTTTTAAAATGTAAATAAAGGATGACAGTACTAGTGGTATATAATTAATTATTTTGAGCTAATTACATTCCATTGTCAACTACTGGCTGAGGTAGACTTCCACCTACCTACAAGGAGCAAAATAAATCTCAATGTTTAAATAGAAGGGCCGCAAGATAGTTCAGGGGACTAAGTGCCTACTTTGGCAAATGTAAAAAATTTCTAGAACTATTTAATATTGAAAAACATGCTTTCAGTACTGTAATAACTTGTAGAAACTTAAAATTATAATTCTGATTTTAAAATATCATTTTTAGGGGCCGGGGCGATGGCTCAGTAGAATAAGCGCTTGCCTAGCAAACACAAGGGTCTGAGTTCAATCCCTGGTTCCATCAAAAAAAAAAAAAAGTAATAAACCTAAATTTATTATTCTACTTTATGATATTAAGAAGCCAGGGAAATTGTAAACACTGAATTGCTTCTAGGAATACATACATCTGCAGTAATGTCGTTGAACTTGGTGATAAATGCATGCTTTACAATATCCACAGCTATTTCTGATGCAACCACCATACACACATCTGGAAACAGCACCCAGAGATGATCTACAAAGTATGGAAAAAGAGGAGACAGTAACATTTCTTAATATGAACAGAATATATATCATAAGCTACCAGACATCTGAATGCTCCAAAGTACACAACTATAATATTTTCAACGGATTACAGAACTAGGATTCAGTGAACTACCACCTTTATTAAAAGAGCCACATTTTACCCAGTTAAAGGACCAGTTATTCAGAACTTTGCAGGCTCCAAGTGCCGCTCTCCCTCCAGGCCACAGCGGTGAGAACGACACTTTCCTGCTAGGGAAGCCCTCTTTCCACAGCTGTCTAAGCGGACAATAAATAGCTAGCAGAGACATGCTGAGGTCAACGGAGCAGCGCTTTGCTTCTTGGACCACAATGATTTAAACATATTGATCAATCACCTATTTTATTGTGATAGAGACTTGACAGGTGTGCTTACCTTTATGACATTCACTAAGAACTCCATTCACTAACTACTAGCTGATTAAATAAACAATGACAGCCCATGGCCTACGACCTCGGGGAAGGATTTAAGAGTGGCCAGAGCAAGACAAAGATGTCTGGAAATGCTGACAGAGACCCACAGCAACTCAGGCATGGGTGGCGCGGCTGGGGGCTGGGCTGCACCTGCTGATGACACAAATAGCTTCTGAGTGTCCCAACATAATGCGTTTGGGAAACGGGGCTTCTTTCAACAATAAACTCTGTCCCTAAGTGGTACAGACCTTCGGCTAGCTTCTTACTGATCTAAATTACAGTTTCCTCATCTACAAAATGAGGATAATCCTAAGTGTCTGCACTTGAGTGATGTGAGAACGAAATGAGATAACGTGCCTGGCACGCAAACTAACACACTGATTTTTATGTTATTAATTTCCCTGGGCACCTAGGGAAAGCCCCCACAAATGGCGTTCTGGTTTACAGAAGGAATTTTAAAAAACCCTAAAAAGGAAAAGAAAGAACTCGTCAGCAGAGTTCCCCTTTTATAGCATTCCATTTGCCACAGCGGTGATAAAGGAGACTTATGGTCCTATCTGAGCAAAGTCACAACATAAGTTAGATTATCATTTCAAACATCCAGGTGTTGGAAGGCCGAGAAAATATTATGTCCTTTGGTGGGACTGGCCATCCTACAAGGGCTCCCAGAAAGGGACAAGCCCACCCTGCCTTGCCCAGGGCTGCTAGCTGAGCCAGTTATGGCACTGTTTCTGAAGGGATCCAAGCGCACAAGAACCCACATGTGGAGGAAAAGGCTTCTTACAACAAATCAGGCGGACATATGCAGAACATACTGAGAACATATTTTGAACATATGTGCAACAAATTTTGAACATACTCAGATTAGAACTCATGCTACTGTAAGATCATTTACTCTTACGATCTCTAAGATAGTAACTTCCAGAAATAAAGTTCCATGATCATGCAAGTCTTTACATTTCTGTTTCTGCTTTTTCACATGTCTGAAAACAAGCCATGAATTAAAATAAAGTAACAAGAACATCCATGCACTGGAATTAAGAAATGAAATGTGTCATTTGATATAGTCCTTTAAGAATAAAGCTGTGTAAAGATTTCAGATACAAAAACTTTGTAGGTTACTTGAGATACCGAGAAAGCGCTCACCGTCCACCTGGCTCACGTGGACTTACTACCTA